TCTCCAATTGCCCAGGACACATCTCACTTTTATTTTCTGCACTGTCCCGTGTCTGAGTCAACCTCACTGGGTGCGTGGAGGGAGCAGATCATTCTTGTTATGGTTTAGGAGTAGTCTCTGGGAATAGGAAGACACCTGTCCAAAGCCTCAGCCATAATCCTTTGTACTAGGATGGAAGCAACCACCCCTTGATTACTCTTTGTGCCGGTGAAAGATCAGTTGTTTGCCTGCCCATGGGAGAAAAGTCCATACTAACACAATTGTAATCTTAGCTAAAAACCTTCCTTGCTCACCCAGGAAATTATGTTGGTTGGAAATAGGAGTGCATGTTCTTTAAGAAAATAAACAGATAAAGAAGAAACCCTGCCATGACTCCAGCCAGCTGCCACACTCTTATGAAACCTCCCCCGTCTTTAGTAAATGTTGTAAGATAATTGATGGTTGTATTTTTTTTTCTTGTTTCTTGTGGGATTGTGGTCTCCCCCCTCAGAGGATAGTCATCCTTTCAAGTGGGATCCAACAACTCTCCTCAAAGGTTGGAAGTCAACACTGAGCCAAAACTACTTTGAAATGATACTTAATATCAGGTTGTCAGGGGTTTGGAATGGGAAGGTGTTTGTATTTGGAGCTGACTCGCTTGGTTACATTATTTGATTTTGTGTGAATTCCACGTTCATTCACAAGACACTTTATGTGACTAGCAGACTGGCTGTGCAAAGTTGTTCAAAAGATGTTAATTTCTCACTGTACTACAGTAAGTTAAGTTGTGTTTTCTACACGGTTTAAAAATGCCATCTGGTATCTCTAGTTTCACACTTCATGTTTGGTCTATGTTGTCATGTGTGGTATAAACTTGAGCAAATGACAGCTTTCCTAGTGTTCAGTTGGAAGGGACTGTTTGAAGAGCAGCATTTCCCCCCAGAGAGACACGTATTTCTTTAGTGGTTTAATTGTATGAGGTTAGATGCCATACCATGAACTTTTAAAAACCTTTTATTGGCTATACAACCATACATCGCTTAACAATAGGGTTATATTCTGAGAAGTGCATCATTAGGCAGTTTCATTGTTGTGTGAACATTGCGGATGATGCTTTCACAAACCGAGACAGCTGTGAGGTCACTAGGTGATATAACCTTGCGGAACCACGGACCAGAATCTCATCGTGCAGCATTCGTCTGTTGCTGATTTATGTTCAAGGTTTTTATTCAGTTGTTTTCAGTTTTATTTGAATGGCAGAGAGACAGAGCTCATCCATCTGCTGGTTTGCTTGCTGGTAACAGCCATGGATGGACCAGAAGTAGATCAGAACTCAATCCAGGTCTCCCTTATTGGTGGGAAGGACCCACATACTTGAGCCAGCATTTGTTGCCCCACGGGTATGCATTATTAGCAGAAAACTGGCTCAGAAACCTGGGAGCTAGTACTTGCACCAAGCATTGAAATGGAAATGCAGACTGCTAAGCAGTGTTTTAGCCAGTGTATCACCTGTTTGTGCCCATATTTGCTTAATGTGTATAAGAAAACCAGCATAGCATATCTGGCATTTCATGGATGTTATTCCTTAAAATGAGGCTGAAGAATAAAGGAGTAGATTTAAAAGGAAAAAACATTGTATTAATATCCCTGTAGGTCAAAAAGGCAAGGCTCGTAAGGGAGATTCATGCTGTATGAATTTCCAGATAGATCAGTGTGGAGTATCTTAAGACCAATATCTTGAGGATGTTTTCTGTGGTCTGCTTGTAGCTAAATGTAAGTGCCAAGAATCTTATTGCTGGTAACATCTTCTGGACTTGGTTTTGCATCTCAGATTTCCCTACCTGCTTGTACTCATGCCCTTGCTTTTCCCTGAGCTTGGAAGGGTCCTTCTAACCCTCTGCAGCTCTGCAGCTCCTTCATGCTGCTTCAGTGCATTGCAAGGCATTTCAGTACCCTTCCTCTGTAAGGTCATCCTCACCCATGCTGGCTCGCAGTGTTTGGCTTCTCTGTTACCCTGCCTCCCACACTAGTCTACACATCGTTTGCTAATCTGGATTGTAATATTCTGTGTGTTGAATAGCCTTGGTTTCTGCAGGATGCTCAGTCTGGGGGAGGGCAAAGGCAAAACCAATTTAAGCAAGTCACAGATCAAAGTAAGCTCAGAATTTGTTATTAGCTCCGCTCATAAATATTCTGCTAAATTGACCTGTTATCCATCAGGCCAGTCCAGGCAAGCTCACATTCCCTCATAATATAAATTACATCATCAATCATCTAGAAACAATAGTGTCATTTTTAGGTGGCTTGTTTGTACCTTAGTCAAAATTTTGATTTAATTGATTTTCAAGATTCTGGATGCTGATCCATTGTAAAGTTGAAGATTTCCCCAAATTTTCCTTGAGAGACACTGTGTAATTTATTGCCCACCACATTCTTTCTGAAATTTACCTTAATTTTAGATGAATAGGTTATAAGGAGATATTTAATTGTATGTTAATGTTCATTTAAAAAATTATATGCGATATATATGAAGTTTGCATATTTATTTTTGCCTGCCTGCAATCCTTCCTTCCACCCTCTTTTTCTTGTTTCTCCTTTTCATTCCTTCTTTCCCTGTCTTCTATTTTCTTGCCTAATTTATAAAGTACCTTTTTGTATAAAATAACATACATCATAAAAGTTCACTTAAATGTGTCATCTTTTGACTTTAGGATATATATTTTTTCTAGAAGTAGCTTAAATTTTGAGAAAAGCTCATTTGATCTTTTGTGTTTTCTGTGGTTTATGATTTCCTGAAACAATTCTTCTACAGAATTTTTAAAAATCCACCTGTTTGGCAATTTGGACTTAGAATTTTTAGAAAGATGACCTTTGTTCTAGCCGTGACGTAAGCAGGGTGAGCAGCGCACATGGCTTCCACGAGCAGGAGAAGGTCTTGCTCCTGGCCCGGCTGATGAGACTCCTGTTCCCCATTCTGTTGTCATTCTTTGGAAGCTCTGCACTTGGGCTTTGGCTGATTCAGGCCTGAATGACTGCTCAGAGCTCATTGATTGGTTTTAGCGATGACAGTCAGGTGCAATACTGTTTGTTGCATAAATGCAGCATTCACCTCTGTTACATTAAAGAGTGCGTGGGACAAAGTAAAGATTATATAAATGTTAGCTATTACCATTTCCAAGGCCTGAGTTAAGTTGACTTTGTTCAAAAATAGAGTTGCTAACAGAGTAGACAAAAATTAATTTCTAAAATTCACACAGGATACAATAAACTAAAAAACACATATTTGGCTGTATTCTATTTTTCAGTATTTGGAAAGGATTGAAGAATGAGAAATCACTTAAAAATACGTTTGGTTGTCTATTTGAAGTTTCTACTGAGGCATTTTTTTGGGGGGAAATGGGATAAGTTTTTCTAAAGTATCAAAAAATAGACCTTCTTGTTGCAGTTCTGCACTACTTTCTTCACATAGCATTCTTCCTTATCTGGGGAATACATTCTGAGACCCCAAGTGAATGTCTGAAACTGTAGATAGCATTTGCTATGTTTTTCCCTAATAAAATAAAGTTTAATTTATAAATGAAATATAGCAAGAGATTAACAACAACTAATCCTAAAATGGGACAGTTGTAACAATATATCATAATGGAACTTATGTGAATATACTGAATGTGGTCTCTCTTTGTCTCTCAAAATATCTTCTTGTGCTGTGCTCACCCTTCTGATGATGGGAAATGGGAAAATGTGTGTGTGATGAGATAACGTGAGGCATTGTGATGTCGCATTAGGCTACATGCGGGTTACTTGAGCATGTACACTGTGAGAATACCACAGCTCACTGGATAACTGAGACTGGTAAGCAACCCACCTGCAGATACTATGCACAGCGTGGATGTGCTGGAGAGATGGGTTGGCCTGAGACTGCATCATGCTACTCAGAATGGTGTTCAGTTTAAAACTTAGGAGTTGTTCATTTCTGGAATTTTCAATTTAATAGTTTTGGTAAGTCATAGTTAATTGAAATTCTGGAAGGTAAAAGCTAAAGGCTTGCCATATAATATTGATATTCAGTCGGATTTTTGTGGGGTATTTTTGCATTGATATTGGTAACCTATAAGAATTTTGTATTTTTTGTCTATTAATTTTGATACTAACCCCTAATATTTTTAACAGCATCTAATTGTAGAGAAATTGATATACCTAATTTAAATATTTTATACTATATTTAAATTTTAAAAAATATTTTTTCATCTGAAAGGCAGTTACAAAGATAGAAATTGGCTGGTTGACTTCCCAAGTATCAAGTACCACCAGAAATGGCCTAGACTGAAGCTGGGCACCCAGAGCTCCATTTGGGTTCTCCCATGGAAGTGGCAAGGATCCAACTACTTGGATCATCTTCTGATGCTTTTCCCAGCGCATTAGCAGGGAGCTAGATCAGAAGTGGAGCAGCAGAACCCTCACTCCTGTGGAATGCCGGTGTCACAGGTAGTATCCCACAGTACCAGCCCCTACGTTATATTTTAAAAGTTACGTTCTTTTACTATGACCACAATGTGATGTGAAAAAAAAAAAACTGGACTCAGCTGCAGTCATGTTTCATAGGCTTGGAACATTTGTTAAGTATTGTCCAGCAGAGATGAATGTGTGCTTTGCATCTCTGTGTTTACTGAGTTCTGTGGTTTGGGCATGCTTTGAATGTTCCTTAATAGTTTAGGGGTTGAAATTTAATCCCTGTTGTGAGGTGTTAGGAAGATGAAAACTTAATCTATATCTTTATAGGTGGGACCTTTGAGGGGTGACTGCATTAGATAAGACCATTAACATTGGGCCCCATGATTGAAAATGAGTAGCTATGTAAAAATAGAGACTAGGAGATACATATACAAATGCTCATTGACTCTTGCCTTGTGATATCTTGCAAAATCATGGGAACCCTGAGCCAAAATAGACTGTTTTTCTTTATAAAGTAGGCTGCCTCAAATTGTGTGGGTGTGTATGTGTGTGTGAGAGTGTGTTAGAGTAGCAAAAACATGACTATTGAAATGACCTTATGTTGATAATTTGCAATTGGCAATTATAGGAGTCTTTGAGCCATGGAAATTGGCAAATGCTATAAATCATGGCTTTACTTTTTCAGAGAACCATTTTCCCAGTAACACCACTGGTTTCTCCACATACATCCTACAAAAGAGGTAAGCAACAAGCTATTGCATGAGTAATTCAGAATCTGCATTTATTTTATCTAAGGGATTAAGTATTGAAAAGGTCAAGTTTGGTTTTAAAAATTATAGGATGAATACCTCATTCTTAGTGTCATTTAAAAATAAAAAATAATGCTAACTGGATGAAATTGTACAAGTTTTGTGGAACTCTTTCCACTTTCATAAAGAGCTCTTATTATATGATAGCTATTGTTTTTGTTCACTCCAAATCTCCTTTCTAAGTAATCCTATCTTTCTAATTTTCAGTCCACATGATTTAGGAAGGAAGAATTTCTGATCCTGTGTCTACCTTCTTTTCCTGCTCTGGGAATAGTTCTCATGACTTAGACCCAAAGAGTGAGCTCCATGCCTGTGGTCATCAAGCTTGTGCAGGAATGAGCATATAACTTCTCAGCACCAGCTTTTCTGTGATCTCAAAAGTGAGTTCAAGGGAAGTCCTCAACCCAAGCTGGAGTAAATTCCAGCAGTTGTTGTTGCTTTCAAGATATAGAATCTGGAGTAGTGTAACACTGGGTGTCTAGGCTGCCATCTTTGCCACTGCCTCAAAGATAGCATTTCTGAGTATGAAGCGAATATAAAGTGAACCGAACTGAACAATGAAAAAGAGATTGCTTAACATTTGACTTCATCCAAGAGTGAATCCAGAATTAAATTGGACCAATTTGTTTTCTTTCTGCTTAAGCCTTAGTCGCTTGCAATGGAGAGATTTGACTAATAGACTTCCTTCCTATGGTGGATCTGAGCAGTCAGCAGCAAGCTATTCAATGAATCTGATGAGAAGGCTGTCTCTGTTTTGTGAAGCATTTTGTTTGCTTTTTGGTGATTCTGACTATTATGAAATTTTACAGTGAACCCTAATATTTCTGTGTTCACTGGTTGCATATCTGTTATCAAGGGCAACACTTGAATTGTTAGTGTACATATTTATCTGTAATCTCTCACTTCACAATTATCGTGTCTCTGAAATCTAGCCAGGCATCCTTAATTTCTCAAGGAATTATGCTTGATTCCCATCTTTCTAGTCATACTCTTTTGGATATAAAGCAGTAGGTTGAGGTCTTTTTTTTTTTAACGTGGCACATTCATAGACTTAATATTTGTGAAGAGTTTTAATAATTTACAGTAGAGAGAGTTTATTGTCTTCTTCCTGCAGGATTAACTGTAAGTGAAGCGCTCATGGGAGAAAATGCATGGTTAGGTCCTGCCTTCCATTTCTATGTCATTTCTATGGTTTTATTCCTTCAGGGTTTATCTTCTCTTTCTACCTCTGAGGTTCTCTTACTTCTGTCCTCTTCTTTGTACCCAGCACCAGCCAGTCCTTATTACAACAAATGTAAGAAAGCATTTGACTATTATGTTGAGCTGAAGCACAAAATAAACAGTGAGCTTAATATGCCACCTCTCTTCAGGGATATTTGTTTTTATATCTGAAGATCACACCTTGATTAGCTTGGATCAAAGAACAGTAGTTCCAGCTGTGGCGTTTCAGCTGGTGTTGAAGCATCTAGAGAGAGTACTGTGTGAGAGGTATGGAAGGAGGCCCCTGGTGGCTCACAGCTTCCATGTCAGGCAGCAAACTTCAGGGCCGTGGTGCATCAGCCTTCCCTGCCACCTGCTCCAGGCTAGGACCTGAGTTTGACCCCAGGCCCCTGTTTCTACCTTCTGATTCTTAACTTCTGGCTCTCTTTGGAAGATGGGTTAGGCAAAAACCAAAACCAAAACACAGACTCAGAAGCAGCTCCAATGTCTGCTGTACAACACTTAAGCTCGCACCACTGCCATTCAATATCCTGCATGGAATCTAAGATAAGCATGAAGCTACACATATTTTAAATGTTGGGTTCCTTTTGAAATCATGCGTTTTGGTCATTTTACTCAGTAAGTCTTATTCCAGAGATTTGATTGGTCAGATCATCCATTTGATGCAATCATTGAAATACTTAAAATAGAACGTATCGCTGTCTATTTCATTTATTGCTGGTATGTGCCAGCCTTCCCTCCCCTCACCATCCACCATATGGTGGTTGTTGAATGCAGAATCCTGATTTCCAAGTTTCTTTTTGCATTTGTTTATTGTTTTTAAAGGTCAGCATATAAGTTTAAATATTTTAGGCAAAAATCTCAAAGCTATTTAGAATTTCTACTGAAAATTCTACTTCTTGAACCAGCTTAATGGAGTTTTCCTATAAGACCTGTTTCTGGAGGAGAATTTATGAGGATGTGGGTGCCTCCTGCACTAAATCCTGGGATATGTATTTCTCAGAAGCAGTAGAAAGACCTCTTTATAATGCAGCCTCTCCCTACGTCAGCGTGGACCACCAGGCCAGCCTTATGGTGCCATCCCTGTGCACACACAGCTATGGGCAGTTTTTACCAAGCTAACGTCTCCTCACAAATTGAAATTTCATTTTTCTCTTGGTTAGTTTTCGTGTTAAGAATCTTTTCCAAATCACTTCCCAAAGTCCCTCCGTGAAACCACTGCTGGTGAATGGAAACCTACGGTACTTGATGGAATGGGAGACTGTGACAAGTCCCTCCATCCATTTTCCTTCTGGAACAAACAGGTCTTTTCTAAGGACACTGCTGGTGGTTGGATCCTTGGCAGTGGCTCTCCTCAAAAACGTGTCTTCTGAGAGCAAGTGGTTCTCCCTAGCAGAATGAGAACCTTTCAGAATACTGTCTGTTTGTTTAGCTTCTTGATTATATGAAGTACATTAAAACCAGTCCAAGGCCCATTAACATAATTTTCATGCATGTTAGTTCTGGCAAAATACACTAGACAGGAACTGTATGATAAATGAGATAAATAATTTTGATGGAGCAGTGAAATAAAATAAACTTTTGCTGTTTAAGAAAACAAACCGTGGCTAGTGGTGTGTATGGGAATCGGTCTGTGTTGGGGTGGCATCCTGAGGGTGGCCTCTCCTCAGAATGTTCTGTGGAGAAAGAGCAGCTGTCTTGTCCCTACACGGCCTAGCTGTAGCCTGAAAGCAAAATATTATGAGGCCTACTGTCCTTTAAGGACTGATTATCTAGGCTACAAATTGTGGGAAGGCCCGCTTTGTTTCTTGTCCTTGGCTGCCTTTGAGCATGGTGCCTAAAAAGGGGAAAACACAAAGATGAAGCGTGTACACTTGTAGACAGACACTTATTAACACCTTCAGGGAAGAAATTGTTGGAGACTGGGTAGGCTCTTTCAGGCAAGCTTAATTTTGCTTTGCTCACTGTTTATAGACTGCTGTGTGAGCAGAACCCTCTCGAAGTGTCTGTCAGAGTTAGTAGTGGAATCAGAATCATAGAACATGGGCCAAAAAAGTATAGCCTTCCTTTCCAGGGAGGTCTGGGAAAAACTTTTCAAGATGATCTTAGTCTTCTGTTCGCCATATTTATGAAACCTTGATTTTGTTTGTTTCTTCTTGGGGGTTTCTTGGAAATGGACTTAAAAATAAGCTGTATTGGGCCCGGCGCGGTGGCGCAAGTGGTTAAGTCCTCGCCTTGCACGCCCGGGATCCCATATGGGCGCCGGTTCTAATCCCGGCAGCCTCGCTTCCCTTCCAGCTCCCTGCCTGTGGCCCGGGAAAGCAGTCGAGGACAGCCCAAAGCTTTGGGAACCTGCACCCGCGTGGGAGACCCGGAGGAGGCTCCTGGCTTCGGATCGGCATAGTATCGGCCCGTTGCGCTCACTTGGGGAGTGAATCATCGGACGGAAGATCTTCCTCTCTGTCTCTCCTCTCTGTATATCCGCCTTTCCAATAAAAAATAATAAAAATAAATCTTTAAAAAAAAAAATAAGCTGTATTGCTTCACAGTGTATTGGGACTTTGGGGTCACCCAGGTTTTGTTGCACTGAAACCTCCTCCCCGGCAGAGCTGTTGCTTGGCTGAGGTCCACACAGGTGTGCCTGCCCTGGCAGGAGGTGGCAGAATCACACGTGTGCATGTTACTCGTTGATTTTTTTTTTTAGTAAGAGTCTTTTACATGACAGCTACACTTTAAATAATTTTTAAAAGCATTCAATGTTATTATTAACTGTAGGATCGATGTTTTAGAGCAGATCTTAAGTATTTATTTCATTGTGTATAAATGAAACTTGGTACACACTGAAAGGTAACATTATCATTATTATATATTTTTTTTTTTTACTCCTCAAAGACTGACCAACTGGAACAAATTCAGGCAATAGATAAAGGAAATTAACAAGATGTGAGGTGTGTCTGATGGATTCAAATGTCCATTACCTTTGGTGAGCTGCTCGTGTCCTTTGTGCAGCAGGAAGCCTTGGGTTTCTGTCTTTCAATACATGGGAAAGACAGCAACCTATCTCTGTGACCACTACACATTCCAGCTTGTCTAGAGTGAAGTAGCCATTGGATCCACTGCCATCATTAATTCCTCACTTATCTGACTCCATTCTAATGCTGGTGGTTGCATTATGAAGAGTTCTTGAATGCAGAGAAAATGGTGGCAACCTAAGTTTTGAATCCTGACTGATCTACCAAAAAAAAAATGTTTGATAAATGAATTATTTCTCAGTAAAGCTGCCACAAATATGTATTGGAAAGCTCAGCATCCTCATATTCTAAACTTTAGACATATCCTAGAGCATTTAGATCATAAAGCCAAAAATGCATGGACTACGTGTATGACAAAAACAGGGCAAAGGATGAACCAAAGAATCTTAAATTATAAGGCATAAGACGTATGCTTTTTTAGCATCTTTGTAAAAGAAGAGAAAGGGAAAGCAATGAGGTTGCATCTGATGGATTCAAGAATGGAAGAACCCCAAAATAGATGAAACAGGACACCACAGCATGTCAGTTTGGTAACAACTGGTGAAATGGTCAGGTGTTTGCCCTTCCAATTGCTAATGATGTAAGGGGCCCATGATAAGGCTTAAAATGACTGCAGCAATACAACCCCTGTGGGATCTCAACACTGCCCACCAGGCTGTCTCCTCATATAAAGACTCACACAAAAGCAATAGAAAAAAGGAAAGGATCAGAGAAGGTGGACGCGTGTAGAGCACAGAGCTAGGAAATATCAGCAAGCTGTTGAAGGTATGTATATGATAGACTTTATTTTTAGATTTTTAGTTTTAGATTTGGAGAAAAATTGACAAGGGAGTATAAAGATTTTCTGCAGACTCCGCACTCAGTTCCCCCTGTGTTTTTCTTTCATTATTTTAGTATGAAATAGTTGTGATAATTAATGGACCAATAGACATTATTTTTTAAAAGAATGTATATTTTTTATTTGAAAGGCAGAGATATAGAGAAAGAGGGAGAAACAGAGAATAGAGAAGGATCTTCCATCTGCTGGTTCACTCCCCAAGTGGCAGTAGGGACTGGAACCGGGCTAGGTCAAAGCCAGAAACCAGGAGCTTCATCCACATCTACTACATGGATACAGGAGCCCAAGGACTTGGATCTTCAAAGCTGCATTTCTAGGCAGCATCAGCAGGAAGCAGAGGAATCAAAAGTGGAGCAGCTGAGATTTGAACTGGTTCCCATTTAGGATGCTACCACTGTAGGCAGCAGCTTTAACTGCTATGCCACAGTACAAGTCACTGGGCATTATTATTAACTAAATCTGCTTTAGTCAAATTTCTTTAGCTTCTAACCTAATGTCTGTTTTTTTTTAACCATTATTTGTTTTGAAAGAGAGAGACAGGGAGAGCTAAAGAGAAAAGTCTTCCGTCTTCCAGTTCACCCTCCACATGGCCCAGTGGATGGCTGTGGATCAGGATGAAGCCAGGAGCTCCATCCGGTCCCCCACATGAGGAGCAGGAATCAAGAACTTGAACCATCTTCTGCTGCTTTTTCCAGGCCATTAGCTTGGAGCTGGTCAGGACATGAGCCAGTGCCCACATGGGATGCTAATATCATTGGCAGTGGCTTTACCCACCCTCCCCCCTTGTCTGTTTTCTGTTCCTGGATATCATTCAATATACCACATTACATTTACTTGCCATGTTGCCTGAAGTTCCTGCTGGCCCTGACAGTGGCTCAGACATTGCTTCTTTTTGGTGACCTTGACAGTTTTGACAGGCACTTCTCCAGTATTTATGAGGTTCTTACAATCTGGAGAAAACAAAAGAAAACATGTCCTTAAGAAGTTGGAAAAGTAGTATCAACCAAAATGTTTTCCATCTCGGGTATGATCAGACTTTCTGCAGCAATGTTATATGCTAGGAGAAAATGAGCTACAATATATAAATCAACAAGGAAAGAAAATATGTTTGAAAAAGTTTTATATCATAGCAAAACTAAATTTCAAGATTAAAAGCACAAAAATTTGTTTTCAGCATGGAAGAACTCAAGATAGATTTTTTCTGAGTTCTGTGAAAATTATGTCATCCTAGATTTGCAGTTGAAATCTCAGGAACTGTTATTTTTTAAAGACTTACATGCGTATTAGTTCAGTTTACTGGAAAGGCTTAGGGTAATGGCCAATCCAGAAACAATATTTCTGGGATCTATGTGTGGTCTTAAAATGTCATTCCCCTTTAAAGCGACCATGACTTATTGGAGGGGGAGGGTGAAGTGGTGAAAAATTCTGAAGCAGGAATTGTAAAAATGAGTTTAGAACATCGTAAAACACTATACAGCAACACAGCTCTCAAAAACTGTTAGAGCCATATCTAGTGAACTTGGGAGCCAAACATTTTGAGCTTTAGTATGGATAAGAATTTAAATGGTTTAAACATATCAGACTTGCTTACATTTGTGATTGCATTTTTATATGTGTGATGCATTGATCATCCTATAAAGAGCAAGAATCAATTTGTTGTGCCTAGCACAATAGCGTAGTGGCTAAATTCTGGACTTGCATATGCTAGCATCCTATATGGGCATTGAACCGTTGAGTCCTGGCTGCTCCACTTCCCATCCAGCTCCTTTCTTGTGGCTTAGGAAAGCAGTAGAGAATGACCCAAGGCCTTGGCACCCTGCACTCATGTGGGAGACCTGGAAGAAGCTCCTGGCTCCTGGCTTTGAATCAGCTCAGCTCTGACTGTTGTGGCCACTTGGGGAGTGAACCAGCAGATGGAAGATCTTTGTCTCTGTCTCTCCTTCTCTGTAAATCTGCCTTTCTAATAAAAGTAAATAAATATGTTTTAAGGATCAATTTGTTGTCTTCAAAATTGGGTGGGCAAAAGAGAAGAATCAAAAATTCATCTTCCTTACCTTTGTGCACACTACTGCTAAGTTTAAAGAAAGATTCAGCTTAAAGCAACAAAAAGTTAAAATCTCACAACTTATGACTTACACTGAATTAACAGATTCAGGCACTGAAGATCAATGGATGTTATTATGCAAAAAAAAAATGACAACAGATAATATATACTTCTCTGTGAAAGAACACGATGCAGTATAAAGCTTCCAAAGCTAAAGGCAGTCTGATCCAGCTCTACCCAGCTGCCAATTTGCAGGAAATATTAATAAGGACAGAGGAACATGTGGAACGGCACCAAGTGTGTGCAGCCTGAGAAGTCCAGTCTATGGGAGATTCTGTGGCCTTAATAGCCTGAGATTTTTTTTCAACATATAAATTATAGGGGAAAAAAGTGATTAAAAATAGCCTATGGGTTGGGAGAAAATATTTTGATTCACGAATCTGACAAGTAGTTAATAGCCAAAATATATTTAAGGAGCTTACAAATTCAATAGCACTAAGCCAAATGATCTAATTCTATAGACATTTCACTGAAGATGGCACAGGCATATGACAAGGTGTTCAACCTCATGAACCACCAACTTCCTGCTAACACATATGCTGGAAGCAGCAAGAATGGCTGGAATGGCTGGGTTTGTGTCATCCATTTGAGAGACTCCTGGCTTCATCCTGGCCCCTTTAGGTATAATTTTCCGCACTCACCCAGAATGAATCTCTGCTTTAAATAACCTGAATGGTTGGAACACAGAGAACCAAGGATTAAAATATAAGTGAGAGTAGCTACCTGGCACTCAGTGCTCACATATGCTGGCTTCTTGTCTCCAAAGGCTATGTTTATTTCATTGTGAATTTAGTTAGTTGAGAGTTATTTATGAGGTAAGTCAGTCAATTTAGGGAAAAAGGATTGATGGCTGCCTATCAGGGACCTATATCAACCCCTAGTCATATACCTACAGCTGTCTGTTTTTCATGAGGATGGAAATCATTTAGTTCTTGGGCCAAGCATAACATTCCTTTTATTACTGCTTTGAAGTGAAACTTAATTCTTTGTGTATTTTTTTAACTATAGGACCTCAAAAAGGAAATCTCACATTAAGTGAAACATGAGACTGTCGACTATTGATCATAATATGTAGGTGTCCAGATGATGGCTTACGAATTTGGACTGGATGTATGGGCTGGTGGGAAAAGCCTGCCAAAAATCTGTCCCTTCACTGTTGATTTTGATGGAAGACTGAACTTACATTGGTAAGAAGCAGAGAATTTAAAACAAACTCTTTTGCTATAAATGTTTAAAATTTGTCTTGGTTGGTTTGTTGCTGTTTTCTTCGGAGCTTAAATGCAAATGTGCATCAGTATTCAACAAATATCGAGTGTTATGGTTCTCTCCGTGGAATGACTTTTCGTTCTGCTGTTCAAGGGCATTCATTTCCTTTCTACCAGGAAGAGCTAGAAGAAGCAAGAACACAGTGAGTTTGGTTTTGGTGAATAGGCACATTCACCAAATGTGAATGTGAGTAGTACCAGTGCTGTGTACTACTCACCCTGATGGTAAACTTAAACCTAACCTTTTCTCAGTGTAGGAATTAAGAATTGTGAGCGTAAAACTGGTGGCATGGTAAATTCCAAAACAGCCCAAGACATGAATGATCAATAGCCATGAGCAAGTTCTAACATGGACCAACTGGATACCTAACTGGAATGCATTGACTCCCAGTAATCTGGGTGAAACCTTAGGGGTTTCCATAATAATCTAGCTAATACAACATAATTTTTTCCATGATTGTTTAGTCCCATAGTTGCGATCCAGTTGGCTGTGGAAACATTTTTTAACTGCAAATTTAGATTGGTGACCCACCAACCTATATTTTGAATCACGAAGATTAACTTTTCTTGTACTAGCATCAAGGCTTTCACTGATGTATCTTGCTCCTTCTTCTGTAATTCAGGGATGGGGGAACTTTTGACCTGCAGGCCAGAAGAAGACCCACAAGAATCATTTGTTCTGACCCTGCCAAGGCAGCTGTAGGCAGAACTGAAAATTCAATAAATCTGTAGGAAGGTAATTTTTTAAGTTGATACTCTTGTATGGCCTGTGAATAATGCTACAAATATCTAAATGGCCCTTGTTAGGATAAAAAAAAGTCCCTAAATCCTGCAGGGTTTCAGACTCCCCAAGATGGAAAGGTAATTACTAACTTGCTAACACTCTTACCTACAGGTTGGAGATAGCTGTTGAATATGGTGCTGGCTGCAGTGTTGTTGGAATCTAAAATTCAAGGTAATTTAAAAATTTTTAAGCATAAGAACCATCCAAGAGCTTCTTGAAACTGTAGTGTTGGGATGCAGCTCCCCCGCATTCTGATTTGGTAAATCCAAAGTGCTGTTCCCATGCCTCTGTTCTAACAAGCTCTCCAGCGGATTCTTGTTCTGGTTCCTTCTGGTCCTGTTTTCAGGAAACACTACCCGAAGAAATCATTCACAACACTCGTTTGACAGACTGCAGCCATCCCTCTGTGTTCATCTGTGTTGGGTTCTAGTCCCTGCCTACAGGATCAAAATCCCAGGATGCAAAAAGTCCCTCTATGAAATGGCATACAACTCCACAATCCTCCCATACACTTTAAATTCATCTCAGACTTACTCATAACATATTAGACAATGTAAATGCTATATGAATAGTTGTCAAGCTGACAGGGAAAAAAGTGTCTATACATGTTCTTGGGGTGGGCATTTGGTGCACCTGCTTAGGATACCTGCCTCTCATATCAGAAGGGTTGGTTTGAGTCCTGGCTACCCCACTTCCAATGCAGCTTCTTGCTCTTGTACATCCTGGAAGGCAGTGGGAGATGGATCTGGTGCTTGGGTCTCAGCTGTCTCTGTGAGAGAGCCAGTGTTCTAGACTGCCTTCATCCTGCCTTCACCCTGCTCTGGCTGTTGCCTCAGGGAGTGGGCCAGCAGACAGAAGACACCTCTCAGTTACCCTTCCTCTTCCACCCCAAAAATGAAAAGATAAATAAATATGTTAAGGCCTGTACATATTCAGTACAATCCCTGAAAATATCTAATTTCTGTAAAGATATAGTTGGGGTGCTAGCACGAATGGCCACCAGTTAATGGTTGCTTAGTCTCAAGTGAAAACAGTCTAGAGCTATGAAAAATAATTTCCTAATCCCTCGAAACCATATCTTTAAACATCTGACCTTCCCCCATAAGATCACCATATATATTTCTACTCCTAAAATCTTCTGTCTACAGAAGTTCTTTTTCCATGCTTGACCATGGAAAACCAAATGACAGGCTAGTATGGAGATCCTTGAATAAGAAAGGTGATTCATGAATCTGGTGCTGTGGCATATCAGATTAAGTTTATACCTATGACACCAGCGTACCATGAGGGTACCAGTTCATCTTCTGACCATTCCACTTTGATCCAGCTTCTTGCTAATGGCCTGGGAAAATCAAAAGATGATCCAAGTGTTTGAGCCCTTGCTACTCTCATGGGAGACCTAGATGAAGCTCCTGGCTAATGGTTTCAGCCTGTCCTATTTCTGGTGCTGTGGCCATCTGGGGAGTGAACCAATGGATGGAAGATCTGTGTCTGTTTGTCTCTGTCTCTCTCAAATGAATAAATCTTTAAAAAAAAAAGCAAGCAAGCAAGACAGTTCACCTCAAATTTTATCCTCAAGATTGTATTCTTGGATTAATTGGAACAGGTGGCATAGTAATAGAATGCTCTTTCTTCCCCCATCTTTTAGGATTCATTTGTTACGGTCTGAGAGGTAGATGGGTCTTCGGTGTAGGCTGCTTGCTTTTCAAGTTGTGTGCAAACTCTCCTAAGATTGCTGTGGAGCTAAACCGTCTCTTTCAATAAATTAATTACAATTATAAACAGCTGTTAATCTTAGAGCACCTGGTTCTCCTTTGAAGTTTTTTTTCCCAGACTCTAGTAGGAAAGTGTGTGAAATAGAGGCTGATTCAAAAGAGATCCCTCTCTAGACAAGGTGGGACTTTGAAGGGAAAACTGATGGCAAAGAGCCATTTTTATCACTCTTTCTTTCCCCCCTGTCTTAGTTTTTGGGTGAAAAAGTCCATAAGTTGAAAGACAGGAAGAACACTTTGATTGCTCTGGAAAGGAGCTGTGATTATTCTATTTTTGTTAAGCTTATGTTTTTTAAACTTTCTATTAAGGTAATTTAAGAGGACAAAATAATTTTAGAGCTAATATATAGATGAAAAAAATGTGATCTGCCAAGCAGTGTTCCTTCAACTTTAACATGCATACAAATCCCTTGGAAATCTTGGTAATATACGGATTTTTATTATTTTTCAATGAGAGCAAGGAGCCTGTGTTATGGAATGGCAGGTTAAATGGCTATTTGAGATACCTGCATCTCGAATCAGTCCCTGTTATTCTGCTTTTTTATTTGGTTCCTTGCTGACATGCCTGGGAAGTCAGCTGAAGATGGCCCTGGTAATTGAGCCCCTGCCACCCAATGGAGTTCCTGGCTCTTGGCTCCTGGCTTTGGTCTTGCTCAGCACTGACTGTCTCCGTCATTTGGGGGAACAAACCAGCAGATGGGAAATCTCTTTTTTTTCTCTGTCACTCTGCCTTTCAAGCAAACTAATAAATAAATCTTTCTTAAAATTGTTTTTTAAATTTGTGAGGAAACAAGGGCAGACGGGGAGGGCAGTGGAGAAAGATAACGAAACAGTTCTATTTACTTTTTCCTTTATCAAGAGTCTCTAACAGCTGGTGCTGAGGTTGGACTGGAGCCAGGAGCTGGAAGCAAAATTCAGGTTTCCTACGTGAGTGATAGGAACCCAACTACTGGAGCTGTCCTTGCTGCCTCCCAGGATATACTTGGCAGGAAGCAGGTGTCCGGAGCTCGAGCTGGGGACACCTGATTTGAGACTTAATTTTCAGAAAACCCAGGGACTTTGATTTGAGATTTAATTTTCAGAACCATAAGGATACAAACCTGCTGCAAAATGGAGATTAATTGGGTCTTGGGTGGGAACAGATACCCTGTATCTGTATCAGGATCCCAAGTGATGCCTATGCTATGTCATCTGTGGAGATGATACTGGGAGCAGCAAGTCACTGAAGGACATAAGGAAGCAAAGAGGTGGGGGGGTTATAAAATTCAGATGTCTGATACTCCTTTCAGTTCTGAGCAATGGTCCCTCAGGTTAAACAACATACAGTCTTTGTTTCAGTGTCACTGCCAAAGCATTTCCCAGTTGCATATGTTTCATTGCTTTTGAGGCACTTGATTGATGTAACCACTGTGACATTACTGAATAAAATTAAGACATACCTTCAGTTTCTACCACGGTGCCATCTGCTGTCTTAAAACAAAATGCTAGTCCCTACAAGTTCCAGACAGTCACATCTCTATTTCTTCACATATTTTCTTGACATTTGAAATGTGGATAACAATTATAGAAATAAGAGTGCCAAGACCTACATTTCATAGAACTTCTGGTACAGAGTAGTTAAAAGAGGACTTTAAAAAGGTTGGTGGAAAATGTAATTACATTATTTTGGTGCTGCAAATTTTGAGTTTCTCATCTTCTTTATTCTTTCTCATTTCTGTTTCTTTTCTTTACTTTTCTTTCCTTTTTCCTCCCTTATTTTTTCCTTTTCCCTTCTCTCTGTCTCCCCATTTACTTAAAAAGCAGAGACAGACACGAGCAGTTCTTCCCTCTGCTGGTTTACTTTACAAATGCTTATAACAACCAGGGCAAGTGATTCCCCTTCAGTGAATTCTCTTTAAAGTGACAGATTTGAGTATCCAGATGACAGCATTTTGCTCTGCATTGTGCGCTACAGTTTAACCTCTGTGAGAGCACATCTCCTGGTAAGACTCAGGGGAAGCAGCACATTTTCCAGGGCAAGATCATGCGGTTAGCAAACCCCTTCCACTTCATGGAGAGATTGGTACAACTGAGATGTTAGAGGACTAGATTTTTTTTCTTTGATCTCTTCTCTTAGGAATGCAGAAAGTGTCTGATCATGTGTTTGATGAAAGTGCCCAAAGTAAGAAACCCAAGAGCAAAACAAGGGGAAATGCTTCCAGGTAAGTTTAGAGGAGCCTGCGGGTTAGGCCTTGCTACTTTTCTCATTTTTACAGAAAAGTGGGAGTGGGGAAAAGGACCTGAAGGAAGTGACCAAATAGTCTAGGAGAAGGAAATGATTCTTCAAAAGCTGATGGGAGAGGGATTTTTTCTTAACCTGTAAATAAGGGGATTAAGGAGTCACTTAACTGTAATTTTCAGAAATATAGAGAGCTATTACAAGGCAAATAGATTCAGCTACTCTGTCTGCTCAAGGAAAATATTTACAAGTGCAGATTTGATAGATAAGTTCTCTTAAGTGCTTTCAAGCACTGCCACCTCGTTTCTTTAAAAAGTTAAATAGTGTTATAATAAATAGTAGCCTTTCTGATGGCAAAACACATTGCATGAAGTCTCTCTAATACACAAACACACACACACATAAAATGATGGGTTATTTATTTGTGCTAATAGTGACATTTCCTAATCTCTAGCTTCATATCCTTGAAAATATAGACTGCTTATCCTAATCTAAACTTCCTAGTGTGTTCTCTTCTTTTGAAGTTGTTTATGAGCTATGTCCTCCACCATTGGATCACCACTGAGCCCCATGCTAATGGGTGCAAATTACAGTGGTGCCAGCTTGTCTTACCTTTGTTAGGTATGTGCCAACTATTTCACAATGAACCTTTACTTTCTCTTTTATTACTGACTGTAAAAACTGTGCTTAGGGCCCTTGAATGGACAGGCTTGCATATTATGTCCACAATCTTGAAAGCACCCACCAATGCCAAGTTTTTACTCTCCAGGGATAGTTCTCAGAATTTCCCCATTTTTTGCTGTTCATCTTCTAGGCATTCTCTCTCTCTCTCTCTTCCTCTCTCTCTCTTTATAAAAAAATAAAAGCAAAAGCTATAAATATATTCTGTTCTTAGGATCTACATTCTGCAAGCCCAGGTCTGCAGGTGTCAGCAGAGCTGTTTCCCTCTGCTTTGTTCTTCTTTGCTCACTTACCTTTTGTTCATTTTTCTTCTGAAAGAATTTAGGAAGGAAAAAAAAACACAAAAAGTTGAACATAACATCAGTCAATATGACTCTTCAGTATTCCCTACATGTTTTTTGAGAAAGGAGATTGATGTTGCTTTGAAAAGACCAGTATCTGATTTAATTCAACGTAGAATGCCTTATACATAATTACTGGTTCATTTATAGCTGACTATCTCTTCATCAGATGTCACTGTAGTTTGAAACTGCAGTCCAACCAAATGAGGACATTATTTTACAATTAATTATGTTCTGGAAAGCACTGGTTCCTAGTTTCTTATTTTACAAAATGATGAAGTATCATTTTGTGGTAGACTATGGAATTAGAACACTACACAATATAATATATAGGGACTTTTCATGAGCTGACCATATGAGCCAGATTGGTCTGATTGACCTTGAGTTTTGAGCATAATATATCCTGAATAGAGATTCGTGATTTCTTTCTGGGGAAGGCATATAAGCAAATGAAGAGTAATCTAGAAATAATGCATGAATCTCTTAACTTTTAGAGCAAATAGAGAACAAACCCAACTAGAGGATTCTTGAATATAATGCTTACTTTGTCTTCTTTTGTATTCTCTTGCACAAAGCTTGGAGTAGGAATCTTTGTGTTTATTCTAAGAGATTGGTTGACATGGAAGTGGATAGTGAAGGACCATTTGTTCCCACCTGTGTGACACCAACCTGGCAAAGGGGAAAATTTGTGCTCTGTCACTCAGGAATACATCTCCTGCTATTTCACACTTAAGAAGAAGCCAAATGTTGTTACAGGATGTGGAAGAAAATGTCAGTCCTGGGCACCACCTGCAGAGATCATTCTCCCATGCTGATGTACTTGATAACAGGAAAGACAGTCTACTGAGTCTTCACTTGATCAGCCCATTCCAAAGGGCTCTTGGAGAAGGAAAGTACAAGAGGAAAGAAGAAGGGCAATAAAATTGATAGCTTCATGGTGAAGAAAAGCAAAGAGTATGATTTTGCAAACCAAGAAAAACTGAGTAATAGCTTCCCAAATCCCAAAGAAAAAGGAAGGCTACCTTAAAGACTAATAAAAGACCTTGGTGGTGGGTTTTTCTACTTTCTTATACATTATTTTTCATCACAGACCCTTTCCTGCCCAGCCAAGTCACTGTTTCAGCATCCTCAAAATAATGTTCCAAGGAGACTCCACCAACTGGCTGGCATTGACCTCAGATCTATTTGACCACCCCCACCCCTTATTTGTGCTGGAGGATAGTAGTATTTCTTCACTGGGCAAACTATTGTGCTAGATCCAGGTAAACTAGTAATGGTTCACTTCCGGAAACTCTGTCTAGTGGCCTGGAAGCATTGGTAAGGTAAAACGGACTATAACTTTGTATGAATGGAACATGTAATAGATCTACTGATAAGATAGGTCATATCCTCTTGCCTGTCTACTCCGGAATTCCAAGTGCTTGGCACAGTTGTTGAATTGTGGACACCTATTGTTATTTAATCTTTTAGTGCTACCAAACTTGCAGAAAACAAATGTTAAGAGAAAATTTGGAAATGTAATTTAAGAGGAAATAAGTCCATATATTTTTTTGAAATGGAGAAGCAACATATGAAGAATGTGGGCATATTTTTCTACTAGTAATGTACATGGAATTCTCTGTCTCCAATTCATAGTATTCCACAAAGAACATGATTTTGGGGTGTTCTATGACCTAGAAAAAAACTATCAACTTGTATTTTTCATTGTTCCCCCCCCTCTCTCCATATATATATATTTAATCTGAAAGTGATAGAAAAAAGAGGAGAGGGATATTTTTCAGTTTCATTTCCAAAAGGCCACAGTAGGCATGTCAGCAGCAGTCTGAAGGCGGAAGCCAGGAACTCCGTCCTTATCTTCCTCATGAGTATCCACTCAAGCATTTGTGCCATCTTCTACTGCCTTTCTAGGCACATCAGCAGGACGCTGGATGGGAAACAGAGTAACTGGAACTTTAAGCTGTGCTCTAATAGGGAAAGCTGGCATGACAAGCAGTGATGTATTTCCCTGACATAATGCCAGTGCCTGCCACCCCCTACATTTTAGAACAATGATTCTTCAACTAGAGTATACTTTAGAAATACGTGGGAGGCTGGTTAAAAGAGATTACCAGGGCCTTCCTCAAATATTGTGCTTCAGTTTGTCTTCATTTCTGACAAGCTGCCATGTAATACATGTTGGCCCAAAGACCACACTTCAAGAGCCACTACTTTGGGGTATAGTTTCAAAAGATAAACACACATTATATTGTTTTGGTAGCTCCTCGCCAAATACCCTCTGAAAGGTGCTGGATATAATAAGAACCATTGGTACACATGTCAACTCACTAAACCTCATAAAACCCTGTTAGGTGTATACTATCATTATCCCCAGTGTGAGGTATAGAAAATTTGAATAGTAAATGGGAGAACCAGCTCTCGGGCCCAGGTCGTCTGGCATCAGACCCTTAACCACAGACTTTTAAAGAAAAGCTCAAGCTGTAACAGATCCTCCCAACCGTGTGGCTTTGAGCCAAGTCAAGAAAACTAACTTAGAAGATTCCAAAAGTCTGTGTTGTTGAGTGGGTAGAGGAGTAAGCAGTGGCTCTTTGGCCTTGGATCTCTCGTATAGTGCTCCCTTGCCTGTCTCTCTCTCATGGGTCAAGGCCAAATGAGACACCTGATTGGCAACAACTGTATGTACCCTCATTCCAAGGAACTGATAGTGTATGATCAAAGATGGTCACATCCACATCCATGTAGCTGCAAAAAACAGAAGAGGGAAAATCTTTATGTATTAATAGGCAAACGAAATCAAGAATGAGTGTTTAGTATTTAAAATAAAACACACTTAGGTTTGCCTGCATTAGCAAATGTCCTAGAAATGCAGAAAGTGGATCAATAAAAATCACTGTCTGTTGTGGAAGAGGGGGAATTGAATGAGTAGGGCCAGACGGGGGGCGGGGGGGAGGGAGGAGAAGATGTTTTATCTGTTTTGTTACATACATGCTTTTATTTTTGAAAATTTAAAAACTGGTGGTAGATCTTCTGTGCTGTTCCTTATTTGGTTACCTGGGGAAAAACTTTTATCTTTGGGTCCATTTTCCACTATCGGTATCATAAAGCACCTGGATTTACCCACTGGAAGTCCACTGCTGCCCGATGTTTAGGGCTCATTTAGAATTAGTTTATGATATACAGTACCACATATGTTTTGGTGACCTTGAAATTATTTTTTGCAAGGTATGTATATGACTAAACAAACAGTTGGGGAGAAATAAAGTTTATATCTCTTAGGAAACAGAGGGTACTTTAATAATAATAATGGCGTCCTGCATTTATATAGCACTTAATGGTTTATAAAATCCTTTCACATGCATTAGATCACTTATCCCTCACAAAAGCTCAGAGAGGTAGCTATTAGGAACCCCATTTAACAGATGAGGAAGCTGAGGCTCAAAGAGCTGCAGCGATTTGTGCAAGGTCACAAAGCTGCTAAACAGTACCTCCGGGAGAGATACCCAACTAGTTCCAAAGCCTGTGAAAATTCTCCTTGCCTTCTCTACAGTTTCAAAAGAGGAAAGTTAACATGCTTTTGCAAAAGGGAAGACTGTAACATCCTTAATCCCATGACACCAACAAAAAAACATGATTCTATTTGCATTTTGTCTTTTAGGGTTTATTCACAGCTTGCCTTACAGTTGTTAGGTAGTTTCAATCATAATATATATACAATCACGTGTTCAACCCCCAAGCTGCTTCTGCTATACTGAGGCACTTGCCAAATTGCAACTTAATTTTCACAATTAACAATTCAATGGGTTCCTGTTTTTTTTCACGAACCATCTTGTAACAGTCTGTGATTATTTAACATGGATTCATTGGATTCATTCATTCCTTTAACAAATACTTACTAAGCCCCTACCTTGTGTCCGGGTGGGTGCCAGAAGCTGAGAGCATACCAGGAGAGACACGTACAAGGGGAACGACAGGGAGGTGGCCTGGAGGGGAGGCAGCAGCTGGGAAGGGAGGGAAGAGAAGCTTGCCAAGGGAAGTGTACGCCAGCCATTTTACACAAATGCTGGACTAAGAAATACAGCACTGCCCAAACACCTCTCTGCGTATAGATTATCCTTTTTGTAAACCGATTTTTTGTTTTCAGTACCAAGTGAACCAAATTCCCTTTTTATGGTTTGGGATGTCTGTTATCCTCTACACTGCTACTGGAAACATAAGAGTACACAACTTCATTTCCATCTCACCAACACTGTTTTTCTACACAAAGAATGTTAGTTTGCAGTTGGAAAGCCGTGCTCCATTGTTTTAATTTTCATGTTTTTGATTAATGTTTATTTAATGATGTTAATATTTTTCCATAGGCTTATTTACAAATGATCTTTCTCTTTGTATAAACTGTGTGTTTTGTCCTTTGCCTAATTATCTATTTGTGTCTACATGTGTAAGGCTTTTGTATAATCTTAGTGTTATTTCAACACCATTCAAAAGTTGGTTGGAACTGCCTTTTCATGCTGTAAAGATGATAAATAAATGAGGATTTCTTATTTTTACTAAAATTTTTCTTAGCCCATTTGGCTTTTTATGTTAATGTTTGTAGTTTAACAAACTATTTTAAGAAAATCTAGCTCTGTATAGAATGAGTTAGTCTATTTTTCTTCTCAAATATATGAAGTTATTATTTCCTTTGATGTTTGATTACTTTTAGATTATTCTCTGTGCCAGTTTTTCTGTTTATTTTTACTTAATTGTTAACTCATTTGAATTTTTAGTAGGGTATAGACTTTAAATTTATCCTCCCTATTTTTCAAATAATATATTTATAAAATATATTTCAATTCCATATTATATATTACATTCTTACACATACCAAAATTTCACCATAATTTGTTAGGATTTCTGCCTAGCTTTCTATTAGAATAACACAGTTCTGGTTTTGATTTATTCAATGTTTTACTGTCCAACAAAATAGTACCTTATTCTTATGTACGCCTTTCAAAACATTATATTTTTGTGTTTTTGTTTTTCCAAAAGATTTTATTTTAACTTTACAGAATACCAGTAAAAGTCATGTGGTGCTGTGTTAAGGACTGCATTTAAAATATTTGTCCTTGATTTAGAATCAAATCTTTTTTTGTAGTTAATTTTTCCCTTTAGGAGGAGAAGTATTTCTCCTATCAAACCAACCAAATTCTCTCTTAATATATAAATAAGTTACCTCTCTTTCTACATCTGGAGTTCTGTATTTTAAGTAGCTATTTAAGAAGAAAGTAAGAGTATATTGTAAGAGGTGACTATTATTAAATGGGACTGTTACTAATTTTTTACATATCATACATCTTGAAAGAGAAAAAATTATAAAGGTAAACTTTTTTTTTAAAGGAATTTATTTGAAAGACAAAGAACCAGAGAGAGAGAGAGAGATTCCATTCTCTGGTTGACCAAACAACTGGCACTGTGGCAAACTGAAATCAGGAGCCTGGTGCTTCATCCCCATCTCCCTGGGGAATGATGGGGTCCACCCACTCAAGACATCCTCCACCGCCTTCCCAGGCACATTAAGTGGGAGCAGAAATTAAAGTAGAGCAACATGGACTTGTGTTATGCTGTTATCCTGTTGTCCAAAGTGACAGACAGCTTAACCCACTGTGCTGGCAACAGCTTTTTAGGGAATTTCTTTGGCTTTTCTAAATATAAAAACATTTAACATTCCACAAATTATATTTTAATCTCTTTCTGGTTGTAATGTCTGGCTAAACGATTTCTTATAATGACTCACTGAGGAAGTGGAAGAGTGGGGCTGGCACTGTGGTCTGTCAGACATCTGGAGCCTTGGGCCAACATCTTGTTCATTCAGGAATGTCACACGCAGAACTTGGATGGGGCTGGGGCACAACATGGTCCTTGATACCTGCACTTACCCCACTGATCATGTTGGGCAAGTTGATGTCTTCTCAGGGCCTTCTGAGACCAAGTTAGGCGTTTCTAGGAAATGGGCTAACTCTAATAAAATACTTTGAAATGGAATTACATTGCAGAAATGGTCTGAAAAACACCAGTTTGGGGCAGAGTTTCTAGATAAGAGAAACTGACTGAGTGTTTCTGGAAGAAGGACCAGTGTGAGCTGATGAAGAGCCTTGGCTGTTGCTGAGAAAAAAGAATTGCTGTCAATATACTTAGTGTTCCTTTTGTTATCCTCTGTCTGAGGAGAAAAGAAACATTTTTTGTTTGAGGGTTCCTTTCCATAAATTTGGGTACTTATCCTTAACTAGATGGCTTCATTTGAAAATAAGAAGAAGATCTTGTGCTATTACATGGTGTTTCATTTTATTGCAGTGACATGTAATATCCGTTGACCTGCTGGAACGCTGGATGATGATCCTGGGTGAGGAATAGCAATTGAAAAAAGCGAAGAGGGATGCATGGAACAAGTCGACGGGAAAATACAAAAAGAGAACAATTGTCAACATGTAAGCACTAGCACATACCATTATAGTTGAGACTATGCTCTGGAGACAGAATACCTTAATTCGCTAAAGATTTTTAGCTGGTAAGTAGAGAGAAAAAAGACACTGGGAGTGAGCGCTCCCATTTTCCGGTTTTCGTTCCTGATGCCTGCAATGGTCAGGCCTGCGCTAGGCTGACACTAGGAGCCAAAAATTCAGCCAGGTCTCTTCAGTTGGTGGCAGGAACCCAACTACTGCTGCTTCCCAGGGTCCAGAGCCAGATATGGTACTCTGTTGTGGGACACAGGAGTCTTCACTGCGAGGCCAACCTTTGCCACTCACCAACTCTGTGAGGTATGTTCCTAAGTTCCTCTGTCATAAAAAGTGATAGTTATTCAACTCTACTTCCATAGGATTGTTACAGGAGATAAGAAAGTTAAGCTATGTAGACTGCTTAGAAACCTTCTCTGACACACAATATAAACTGTCAATTTTTTTGACTCGAATTTTTCTTACAGAATCATTAGAGTTACACCTTGGATTAACTACCTGTTCAAAATGTTCCTGATGATGTCATGCCTCTGGCTTCTCAGACTCGGCCTTTCCGAGCTGGCTAGTTGGCTGCTTGGCCAACCCAAGACTTAGGTTAAACACTTTGCTGTTCAGAATCCAAAGAACTGCATGCCTTGGGTTCCTTTTTAATTTATGAGGCATAATTCCACTTTATGTTCCAACTTGCATGTTAACATTCTTTACCTGATTTATTGCCACCTGTAATAATACTATTTATAACACTTTTCATCCACAGTTCCCTAAAGTTTTACATACCTCAATTCATCCCAGTTCACAGGTGAGTGGGTGGTAGATGGCAGATTCTCTGATTTTTCAAAGAAAACAACTAAAGATATAATAGTGAAGTGATGGCCAACAAATTGGTGGTACGTTGGTAATGTGATGATGAGCTTGACTCATTACTTAGGCCTTGCAGCTCTGAGGCATGCTCGGAAAACAGCTCCTTTTGCAAGGAAGGTGAGCAGTGAAGTGCATGGGCCCTGGGACCAACATGTTTTCCTTCAGATCCACTCCCTACCTCCAAACAGGGCACAATCAGAAGACTCAACTTGAATTGCTCAAGTACCACATTTTCCTCTGTAAAGTGGGAATGATAATCCTATTTCCTTGGTGGGATTTTGAAAGGTGAGGGGAGTAGGTAATGAGATAGATAGTGTGTCTGCCAACCCATAGGAAAGCTCAGTAATGCTGAATGTTTTTGTTCTTTGGGTTTGCCTTGTATGTGGAGGGACAAGTGGTGGTCATCTTCACTGGCAATGATATCATGCAAACAAGTCTTCTTGCTTAAATATTAAGCGTCTATACCTTTTATAAAGGGAACTGTTAGCTTGAAACCAAAGAAGGAGGTTTTTGTTCCGGTTCTGTGCCTTGGTTGCCTGGGTATTTTGGAAGATATAGGGTTGCCTGAGGCAGGAAGTCCCTTTTCTGGCTTTACTAAGTTAATGCTTTTGTTTTCTTCTAATTCTCTGTATGTAGCTCTGACTCTTATTTGGTGCTTGAGGAGGAGATAGAGATGTTTTCCTCTGGTTTTGGCCCCACATGACCTCTGTTGAATGACTCCATCAGGGAGAAGGTGGAGAAAGGGAGGAGGAATGGGAAGGAGGACCTCCCTGATTTCTCTGGGGGTGGTAGATGTGCAGGCTGGGGCTAAGCCACAGAGAGGCCATTTGGCGGAAAGCAAGACTTGCAAGCTGACACACTTCTCCTCCTAGGAGATGACAACTAAAGGGAGGCAAGGGAAAAATCTGGAAGGAATAGAACGGTGGCAACCAGGTTATCAAAGGCTTGCATAGTCAAACTGCTTTAATATTAATTTATCCTTTGAGCCAGACCCCATGCTGGCAGGCACACACAGGAGTCAGGTCTGGGATCATCTTAGATGAGGTCTCTTTGGGGATCCCCTGCCAACTCAACTGCCAGACTCAGAACTTGAACCATGGGCAGGATTGGTGGACTGACTGTAGGGTACATTTGTCAAAACTGGGCATCCTCAGTGGAAAAATGGAGCAGTGGATGGCATGCCCTGATGCACATGGAGAATATGACAGCACATTGGGTTCTGCAGAGGACACCTGGGTAACACAAATTAAACAACCACCCTAGGCAAGTGATGACAGCAAATATCTGGGTGAGTGGAGACTCCAGGATGACCTAGGTCAGCCAATGGACCTTGCAAGAATTTCCTTATTTTTGGATCAGCTAGATCAACAACATTTTTGAACCATCGAAACCACTTAAGCCAATCCCTTGGAGTGTGCTCCACATCGGGGACACTGGGTTGATACTGGGTTGCTGTTCCACATCCCTGGATACTGGGTGGTTACGAGGCTGGGTGAGGCTTCTCTACTGGTCTCCCTCCTTCCCCCAGATACAGGGGGAAGAAAAAGAAGTTTTGGAAACAAGTCTCATCCACTTTCCTCTAACCCTCGAGTCTCACCCCGATCAACTATGTAAATACCATAAAAATAACAAAATTATATCATCTGAATACTCCATTATGACTGTTTAATTATGTCTTAATTATTCTTGGGTCAAAATAGGGAGGACCAGGATGGACTTGGGAGGACCAGTCAGTATTGTGAGTGACAGTGTTGGCCAGTGAGCAATGTGCGGTTTGCCAACTAGTGCTACTTCACAGTGTTTTGGAAGTCAAGGAAACTCCCCAGGACTTACCTCTAGGGCCCTTTGACTCTGCTATGACCTGAACTTGCTTCCCATCCCCCAGCCTTCACCATACCATCACTTGAAAAAGAACAGAGTAGAGATAGAAAAAGATGGGAGCACTCATTACTTGAATCTCTTTATAATCCTAATTGTCTTAGTGATGCTATGGTTTAGCTCTGGTTGTGCTACTAACTAATTGGTTTCCGGCAAATCACTTAACTCCAGGAGCTCAAGTTTTCATCTATGAAATAAGAGTATGACTTGATCTCTATGATCCATTTATATGTGTAACATTGAATGAGAGTTGTTGTAGTCTCAGCAAAGGTGTCAATTTCATCTGCCCTATAAAAAAATGTGTCTAGAACACCTATTCTGGAACACACACTAGACTTGGCACTAGGATCACAGGGTCACATATTTCCATCCTCTCCCAGGAGCCCCCCATAACGAAAGATGAGTGTGTAAACATGTTGAGAAAGGTGTAGTGTAATGACTGAGAGTTCATCCCAACTCAGACATTTCCTATAAATGACATGGAGAAAGTTTCTTAATTCCTGTGTGATTCAGTATACTCATCTTCAAATAATAATTATACACTGTATACCAAATGATTAATTTTTTTTGTTTGCACCAACTGGTGCAAGTATATTTGCCTTTCTGTGTCTGCCTTACTTCATTTCATACAAACTTCTCCAATTCCATACATTTTAATAGGATTTGATTCCGTTTTTTGTGGGAGACTATTTTATTGCATGAATAGACCATTTTTTGTGCACTCATCCACTGATGGATATTTTTGTTTGTTTTATATCTTGCCTATTATGCAGTGTGCTGCAATAAATGTGGGAGTGTAGCTATCTCTGACATAATGACTTAGTTTCCTTAGAACATGTACACAATAATGGATTCATGGATCCATTAGTTTCTGATGGAATTTTCATACTATTTACCATAGTATCAGCTCTTATTCAAACCAAGGTACTTCTTGAAAGATTTTGTAAATTAGGCATTTTTGTATAATTCCATTTGGTTCAAAATTTCTACTGCTTATATGAAGAGCTACAAATGAAGAAGTTCGAGTAAAAAGGCTTTGGGAAGACTGTAAAATACTAGTTTTCTGGGTTAAGTTTCTGTCTAACTCAGGAAGATGGGACCATCCCTGGCTACAATGTGAACACTATGCAAACAGAACCATGAACAATGGCTCTGACCCATATGATGGTGGTCAGTACCATCACCCTGCTGGGGATTCACCTGCTGTGTATGGGGCACTGGAAAACATCGTCTCCTGCTCCTTCATCTCCAGAAGAAAGCGATGAAGCAACTCACTCAAGGTCACTAAGCTTATTTGGGAAGACCCAGGGCTGGATTCAATTCTTTCTAAACTACTACTTTGATTCCGAGCTCTACTAGATCCTGGACGTATTACTTGCTAAAGGAACCTTCATACTGCTTTCCATAGTGCCAAGTCTTACTTGAACCAGGCATTTTCTTGAAAGTTTTTGTAACAATTTGGCCCTGGTATAATTTGTTGACTTTGATTTTATTTGATTGCTTTTATCAGAAAATATTTCCAAGTGTACCTCTAGGTGATAAATTCTTTTCTTACATTAAAATTTTTAAACTTAAAAATTTTATTTGAGAGGCAAAGAAAAACAGAATTTGCATCTACTGGTTCACTCTGCACATACGGGCTGAAATCAAGATCTGAGAACCCAATCAGGGTCTCCCTCGTGAGTGACAGGGATTCAAGTACTTGCCCTGTTTCCTCCCAAAGGAATGCATCAGCAAGAAGCTGGAACCAGGATTGGAGCTGAGACTTGTATCATGCACTCTGATGAAGGGATGCAGGTTTTCCAAGCAATGCCTTCACTGATTGACCAAGTGCCCATACCACAGTAAAGACCTTTAAAAACAACTAGAATAGGGACTGGTGTTGTGGCATAGCAGGTGTAGCCACTCTGCAAAACCAGCATCCTGTAGAGCTGTTGGTTCTTGCCCTAGCTGTTCCACTTCCATCAGGTTCCCTCATAATAGCCTAGGAAAAGCAGCAGAAGATGGCTCAAATGTTTATATACCTGCCACACATGTGGGAAACCCAGATGAAGCTCCTGACTGGTGGCTTTGATTTTGCCTGCTGCTAACCATTCCAGCCATCTGGAAAGTGAACCAGCAGATGGAGGATCTCTCTCACTGTTTGACTGTAACTCTGACTTTCATATTAGTAAATAAATCCTTATGAAAAACATTTAGACTAACACTACTACACGTAAAACAAGGTAACAATAACTCCTTAATGTTATAAAATACCCAGTGTTCAAATTTTATAGTTTGCTTCAGGGGTTTAAAAGTAAGCTGGTCAAGTTTACACAATCTGTGGAAAATGTTATAGCCTTCCTGGATCTCAGATCCTCACTCATGTCTTGGAAATGATTCT